GCACGGGGCGTGTGCGTGTGCCTGCGGGGAGCTCATGCGTGTGCGTGGTGAGCAGGGGCCCGACTGGGGCGTGCAGCTGTGCGTGCGTGAGCGTGGCCGAGCGTGCCCGTGTGAGCGCGTGTGCACGCGTGTGTCCGTGGCCTGTGCACACATATGATCGTCTGTGTGTGAGTGGAGGTGGTACATGAGTGGGCAGGTGGGCACTGAGCATGTGTGTGCACCTATGTGCAGGCACGGATAAGGGTGCAGGTGGGAGTGTGCGTGCAGTGGGGCAGCGGGCACACAGGCACAAGTGGGCGTGTACCCACCACCCTGGGTGTACCCAATGCCCTGTGTGTACCCACCACCCTGGGTGTGCCCACCGCTCTGTGCGTGCCCACCACCTTGTGTGTACCAACCATCCTGTGTGTACCCACTGCCCCATGTGTACCCACCACCCTGGGTGTACCCACTGCCCCTGCCTGTATCTGCCACCCTGCATGTAGCGGCTGTGACTGTCCCTCTGCACACACACGTGTGTGTACCTGTAAAACATGTGTTCAGACACCCCAGGCCTCCTGGAGCGGGCACCGAGCAGGCCTGAGCCCACTCCCGGGGCACGGGGCTCCCAGAGGGAATGGTGGCAGGGGCCAGGCGGGGTGGCTGAGGCCGTGACACCCCTTCCCACTCCCGCAGGTCAATGTTGAGGACACTGTCGAGATGCTGCCCAAGTCGCGGCGCGCACTGACCATCCAGGAGATCGCTGCCCTGGCCCGCTCCTCGCTGCATGGTAACTGCTTGCCCGGCCTGGGGTGCAGGGGTGCCTGGGGGGGCACCCAGGGAAGGGATGGTCTCCCATGGCCGAGGGGGCTGGGCCTCTTGGGGAGGGCACTCTAGGGTTTGGGGAGCTCAAGGTGTCCCTGGGGTTCCTGGTGATACCCAAGAGGAGGACGTGGGGGTGCCAGGTCCCACGGGCTGGAGGTGGGGGCTGTGTGGGCTCCGTGAAGGGGACTCAGGGTGCCCAGAGGGTGCTGACACGGGGGCACACCTCGCAGGCATCTCTCAGGTGGTGAAGGAGCACGTGACGAAGCCAACGGCCATGGCGCAGGGCCGCGTCGCCCACCTCATTGAGTGGAAGGGATGGTGCAAGCCGGTGGAGCCGCCCACTGCCCTGGAGAGCGCCTTCAGCTCCTACTGCCACCTGAGCGAGGGCGAGCAGGAGGCACGCTTCGCTGCTGGTGGGCACCGCATGGGGCATGGCCTGTGGCCAAGGGCTGGGGTGGTGGTGCCGGTTCTCTCCGTCCATCTATCCATCCATCCATCCATCCATCCATCCATCCATCCGTCCATCCATCCGTCTGTCCATCCATCCCATGGCACTGTGGGCACAAAGATGCCAGAGCAGGGGATTTGGGGGGTGTTGCTGGTGCACGTGTGACCCGTGCCTGTTCTGTGCCAGGCGTGGCAGAGCAGTTTGCCATCGCCGAGGCCAAGCTGCGAGCCTGGTCCTCGGTGGATGGGGACGACTCCAATGACGAGTCCTACGATGAGGACTTCGTGCCCTCCACGGAGAGCTCCCAGCCCACTGGTAAGTGCCATGGAAAGTGGGCACCTGCCTGGCCGGTAAGGCCAGGTGTCCCACTCCCAGTGTTGGTGTCCCGCTTCCAGTGCCCTACTGCTGGTGCCAAGAGCTGAAGGAGTGGGGTGCCTGACACCTGGTCACATTGCCCAGCCTGGCTGCCCCTTATGGGACAGTGCCCCTGCTTGGCACCATGGCAAGCAGTGCCCATGCTGGGGATGGGGAAGCCCTGCAATGTGACACTCTCCTCAGTGCCAGAGCATATTTTGGTTTTCCTTTGGTGGTCATCAGTACAAATGCAGCATTTTGTGTCCAAAGGGGGCATGGCGCCTGGCATGGGGCTGCTCCTGTCCCACTGCTCCCATTCTGCGGGGCACAGGGTGGGTGGCAGCTGGCAGCCCCCGGTGCCATCAGCCCGGGACTGACCCCCATTTCCTCACAGAGCTGCCCAGCACAGTGCCCGCCAGCGCACTTCTGCGAGACCTGCTGCAGGGCCACCTGTGCCAGCTGGGTGTGCGGCACGGCTCCTGCGAACCCGAGAGCGACTCCTCACACACCCTCTCCCCCGAGACCCTCTGCTCCAGCCTCTGCAGCCTGGAGATGGTATCCCCCTCCGAACTCACTGCCAAACTGCTGGGCTCCCTGGGGGGTGAGGAACTGCTGCTGCCCAAGCTGCCCCCTCCAGCCAGCCAAAGTGCCTTGCGGGGCCTGGCACGGCTCCGGTGCCAGGACTCCCTCTACTCCATGTCCTACGCCGAAGCTTGCCTCTCGCCCGCTGAGGATGAGGTGGTGCTGAGCAAGGACTTCCCGCTCCGCCGGAAAGTCTCCGATGTTGCCTCCTCTGGGGTGGCATCGCTGGAGGAAGAGGAGGAGGCTGAAGAGCCCTGATGCCCCTCTGGGGTGCCCTGCATATCTCCCGGTGGGGAGCCGCCCTCTGGCCGGACCCTGCGCTGGGCTAGGGGTGGGCCGTATCGCTGCAACCCCTTGTTATCCGGGCACAGGGGGATTCAGGGGGCCACTGCAGCACCCCCCGGCCAGTGTGCCCCCTCCGTGCCCCAGACCCACTTGGTGACATCATTATCCTCCTGGATGTTTGCATGAGAGCGGGGAAGGGGTATGGGGAAGGGCTTGAGGGGGTCCGTCCACCTCTTTGACACCTAGATGTGCCCCCTAAAACTGATGGGACTGGATCAGTGGGGCTGGTTGTTCGCATGTTCCCCCCTAAACTGCCCCGCACTCCCCTTCTGGGCACGCCTCTTTCCC